CAAGGACTTGACAGTAACACATTTGGACTGCATCAGTGCTAGGTACACAGGGAACGCCTTAAGTAGCTGAACCCAGAAACTCATCATGGCCAGTCTAGAAAATAGGCAAATGCACAGCACAGGCAGCACCAAAAGCTCCCTGTAGTTACAGGAGAAAACCCTGGAATACAAAGGAGATGAGAGAGTACAGTGCGCCAGGAAGGATACAGAAGTACCAACAAAAGCAACAGCACATCCTGCCCAGTACTCCCTCCCATTGTTGAACTATGCAACAATATAAGAGAGTGAAGCCCCACCTACGTCTGTGGCCATTTTTCATGGGTCTAGGGCAGTGCACAGAGGAGGTCACACAGCCAAGATGTCCATAACACGCAAACACCAAATGACTGGGAAAGGGAAAATAAGGACCTGCCCCCTGCATAAATGTATCAACTTCCCAAGGCACATATTTTCTCCTATCACCTCCATGAAGGTACATTGTTGTCTTTGGTTCCCCAGCTACGCCGACCCACACGTGCTGCAAGGGAGGGGAAGGGGCACAAGAGGCAGGTGCCTCCTTGAACGCTATTGCCCATCACGATATTCACCCCCAACTCCCATGTTCTCCAAATTCTCTATATTGTCCTCATGCCCAGGGGACTCCTGACATTCCTTCTAGGACCCTGGAATACCCTGAAATAGGGACACCACAGAGCCCTCCTCTCCTCACATTGTAACCCCCTCTTGTCCTTTAACAGCGTCAGTGGCTGTTGTACTACACAAGACGCATAAATCCCTCACTGAGCAGTCTAGGACAGCTTTGAGGGTTCAGGCAACTTCTTGTGCCTATGTAAACACCCCTCTGAGAAGAGCAAAGTGACTGATGGGTTAGACCACAAAGTGGTGACAGTTTACATCAGTGGACGGGAAACTTGACAGCTTCAGCTGACAGGAATGTGCCCTTTCGGCATGACCAACAAGAGAAGTTAAGCTGCCATTCTGGACACCTAACATAACTCAGAAGGTTCCTGGACAGCAGGCTCAAGGGGAGACATGCAAGAGGATCCCAATGTCACCGGCTTCATATACTGGTCAGTGGCGGGACCCATGTGAATTTTACTTCCCACCAAAGTGCAGAGTATGATCAACGGAAGAGTGTAGGAAGCTAATAGAGAAATGCTTGGCCAGACGCCAACTTCATTCCCACTCTCTGAAACAGGAGTGCTAAGGACCCTTGGGCTACCCTTGCTGTGCATAGTGCAACCCCTTCTGTTCAGCACATTAGCGTAGGAGGACACAGCCTGACCACTGGCCATCACCTGTGTCTCCACTAGATTCAACATTCTACTTGCTACAGATACTGTAGGTGAAGCTGTCTCGTTCCTGTAGGAATTTACACAAGGCTTTGGAACCACTCAAGACGGAAGGAGGAAGGAGAGGTCAAGTAAATTCCAAGGGACTACCAGCAACAGCAGTTCACTTTCATAAGTGTCTGCTAGTCAACACTGCCCAGTATTAGCAAGAAAGACTCAGTGGCGAGGTCCACTTTCATTGGTCTCCACTTGTGAACACAGCTCACTATCAGAATGAAAGATTCAGTGGTGAGACCATCCATGGGAGAAACGTCCCCCAGAAAAAACCACAGGTGCCTCTCAGAAGACACCCACAGATTAATCTATGATGATACCATATAATAATATGTTCCTCCAAGCCATTTGCCATAGGCTAAGGCAGTGTACCTAATGAGCCAGAAATTGCTAAGCCCTCACTAACAGGGAAGTTCAGAATTCTCATTGATAATGGACAGCTAAATTCCACCCCCTTAATAAGGTCCCATCTTTGCCGAAGAGCCAGACTTTCCCAAGTCACACTCAACAATACCCTCTGGTGCAGTGCCAGGCAAGGGGAAGGGGCCTGAGACACTCCCTTGAACACACAAAGCCTCTGAGAACGTCCCCGCCAGAGTCCCTGAGCCTTCACCTCTCCCAGCAGCTCTGCCCAGTGCCACTGTTCCCAGCCCTTTCCCACCTAGAGTCAATAGGCCCCCGATGGAGCAACCATATGCAATGTGTCATTCCATCTTTCCTGATCACAGAAGACTCTACCTATGTCTCACCCACGAACCCCTATAATTCTTCCCATCAAAGAATACATCATCAAAGTAGCTGGGGATCCAGCCATGAAATCTATTAGTTGAAGGTGTATTGCCCTGGCTTTTGAGGACCATTGTCATCAGCACATATTTCTACTGCTACAAAAACACCCAGTGTGACCTCTGGATATCCATATGGACCAGAATGGACAGGACATGGAGATTGGGGTAATTATTACTTTTTCAATCACCAAAGTCATTCTTAAAAGGTCTCACAGCTTGTGATTAATACCACGGGATTCAGAACCATCTGAAGCTGGATCTTATTCCCCCTGCTAAAGGATCCTGCCTTTGTTACCTTGGCAAGGGTCTGTAATCATTAATGTACTCTGTAAAATGGGAATAACAGTACATTTAAATCATGGTTTTTAGAGGATGAGGAGAGAACCCAATGAACTGAGCACAGTTCTTGGTTCTAGTGACCTTTCCATCAGTGATAGCCCTCCTTAATTCTTTTGGCATCATCACCACTACCATCAACATCATTGTCACAACCATCACCATCATTTCCAGTAGCCCAAGGTGCTTCTCAAAACGACCAGTGCTGTCCCAGTTACATGACTGGACATGCCAAACAAAGAACCAGTCTTACAAGAAACACAATCAGTTGCATTGTTTTCCATGCCTAATGTCTACACCTGTGTCTGTGCCTTATGTTCAAGCATAGACACTTAGGCACCAGGAAGACAAGAGTTGGTATTTGAGGTGGGAGATCCAGGCCTTCAATTCTCAGGGCTAACATTGTGCCTCTAAAGTAACAAACAGTATTAAAGGCTTTTTTAAAATTTATCACTGGGAAACCAGAAATGTACTTCATAAACAGCCATGACAAGGGTCGGGACCTATAAAATAGGTACTGCCAGGGAAAAGCCTCACTGCTAATCATGCAAAATGGTCACAGGATGAGTGAAGTCTACAAATAGGGATTTCAGTGCATTAAATTTCATTATATTCTCCTGAAATCGCTCAGCTTTGTACATGACTACATAGTAACTATATAATCTGAAAAGTCATTTCACAACCAGGTGAAAAGTGAGTACATCAGCCCTTATGTATGTTGTACCATTTCATCAAATAGTAGCAAAATCAACTAGCTCCCTCTACTTAAATAAGCCACAGAGTTTCAGTCAGAGTCCTTGCCTTGTAGTGGCCAATATAATCCACTCTCTTCCTAACACTCATATAAGAAATAGGCATGAAAAAGCACTTCAAGGCAAATTGGAGTGTGATGTGAAAGACTGCACACCAAGAATTTACAGCACATTACCATTATGACTATTGAGTAGACATTTAATGACTGCACACCAGAAAAAACCAAGTGACAAGACTGTCCTAGGAATGAACTCCTGGGAAAGGTCTAGGGAACCAGGTCTCAACTTAAATTCTGAGGAGGTCCACCTTCTCTTTCATCAAAGGCTTGGATCCGTGGGACTGCCGCCAACTAGTGAGACACCCTTTTGGCATCCTCTACCTTGAGAATGCTCCTTCCATGCTATTACTTAGTGTAAGTATCCACCAAGGCACGCATTTCGGTCTTTCCCCAAGACTTCCCCACTCACAAAAGACAAGAAGACCAAAGATGACGGTGACATTGCAGAGGCGGAGGGCATAACATGTGCAAGTGTAACAGGGAGGAAGCATCACAGTTACCTCAAGTTTCACAAGGGCTTTTGACTAAGAAATAAGTCATCCTTGGCCATCATCACACTATTTGGTTAACAAGCATGGGTTGGGTAACGTTTTTCCATGGATCGCAGGCCTCAATTTTACATTGAGTGGAAAATAAAAATGACTCTCATCTTCCAAGGATTAAAAGTAAGTTATCCAAAGACAGGAACAAGTCACAAGAGTATGAATGACACCCTAGTAAATAAAAGTTACACACTTTAGGGTCTCTTCCCAAAGAAATGTGGAATTTCACCTAAGGTGAATGAACTTCAAGTTCTGTGATGCCACCTTCTCCATGAAACGTGTGCCAATAGAAAACTACAGAACCCACAAGGACCCATTGAAACTAAATGTTCAAAGTCAACATAAGAATATGTTAGGATAGTACACACTTCCAATTAGCACGTTAATTCCCTCTGTCACCTTGTTAAATGTCTTTACCCGCATTTCAATGAATAAATCACCACACACAAAAGAAATGACTTTACATGGGCCAAGAAAGAGCAGAGACCTCTCTGGCACTGCCAATTAGCAGGTCCCTCCAGCCTGCACCATTTACAAATGGTAAAGAGTCCTGATGAGTAGTGAGGCCTGAGCCCTGGCAGCCTCCATGTGCAGTGTCTAAATTGGCCAGAATAGAAAGTTGCTCAGAAGGAAAAGCCTGAAGTCCTGGGTTGCCTCTTGCTTCACAGCACGGTTGATGAGGTCTGGTTTCCAGAGTGATTCCCCAGACACCCCTGAGGAAGCTTCCTGGCCCTGGGAAAGAACATAAACATTTAAATGATATTGTCGCAAACTCTAAAGAGCTTGTACAGGGGTAGGGGAGCAATGGTAGAGAGGGGGTTAAACGAAGCACCCTGATGTTCTTCTCCAACATGTGGAGTCAGTAAATGGGATACTAGTTCCTTGGGAAACTCTTTTGGACTCAGGTACTGAGGACTGTGAATAAGACTTAATGTGTGCTCCTAGTAATGTCTGCAAAGCAAAGAAATGGCCAGGAAGCAAGAAAGGGTAAAGATTTGAAGGCGTACTGACTTATGTATTACTTTGATTTTTACCTTCTGTCTCCAAGTCTCCTCCGAAATAAATGCCCTCCCCTCCATGGTGGAGGCAGACCGACAGACTACCATTCTCCACCAGACACTTGGCCCACAGGTCCCAAGCCTCCCCTTTTACATAGATAAACATGGCTTTGTAATACCTTCAGATCCATTTTTGAACCAGAAATAGAAAGTCATCTGGGCTGCATCCCACATTCCCTCCATTCCTGGAGTTGACTTTTGACCATCCACTCGAGTTCATCCTGCTATTGCCTGCAAAAGATTCCAAATAGGATCCAAACATTAAAAATTTGAAGATAAAATGCCAAGATCAGGTTTTTTTTGAAACCATAGCATTCAAATAAATTCAAGCTGGCTGTAATGGGACACTGACAATGAGCAAAGGAACACCACTAATGCCTGGGAAAAGATGTTAGTCTCTAGCAGGGTCTCAATCATGAAGTTAATAAGCAGCACCCATGGACAGACCTTAACACTGATGGCAGTTCCTAGCTTTCAGTCCCAGGACATTGGCTTCAACACCTTCCTAAATGATGTTACAGGTGAGACTAGGTGAGTGACACGCTCTGCCCAACACCTGTCACCTCACGCTAGAGAAGGTTGTTCTTACCTGGTTGGATGCTCAGGAGAGTTAATTCCAGTTCCACTCTAGTCATGGTACAGGCTCCCATGCTGACCAGTCCCAGACTTTTCCACCACAGGTCCTGAAGGAGATGGCAATTGTACAGATCTGCAAGACTAGCACCACTGGGGGCACACACATGGCAACTCATAACGTAGGTAGGGGGCTGAAGCACGTGTCCTATTACCCTTATGAAGAAGAGCTGCTGAAAATACCTAGTGGGGACTGAGTACACAATTATTCACCCCATGCCAGGTAGGCCAAATTCATGAAAGGCAACGTAACACAGAGATTGCAGGAACTGTGCCACAACACCAGGTAACAGTGCCTTTCAGAGGTTCCACTGTTCCCTTCAAAGGGAACCACAGGTCATGGGGTGATCAGTACATAGCAGTAGCCCATTCCACCCAATTCTTGTCCTCCCCAGGCTAGGCCTTGACCACTCACCTCTCTTTACTTTGTGGGCACATAAAAAAATAAATGAATCATTTTTTTTCCTATGGAAGAACACCTGGAAACGATACCAACGCTATATTTAAAGAAAAACAATATATTAAATACACCATTGTGCTTCAAAAGCAAAACTGTCAACGTGACCTGCAATTGGCATTTACTCCCAGATTTACTGAAAGCACTCAATCTGTGAATTTCTTCATTCCTAAATGGGAAATTCCCCATTACATTTAAAGGAAACGTATGCAACAGCCTCAGGACAGAATTGGATTAAATAACGTGATATTGAGCACGCAATTCATGTGGGAAATGAAATTCCCAACAATGTGCAGAGGTGACAGGCGACCAGTACTTCCGGGCATTCACTGCCGTAGAACAAGTGGCAGCTTAGTCAATGTGTGCGGTTAGAAATCGAAAATGCCACAAAGCTTTCTTCATTTGGGTACATCTATGAAATAAGGTAACACAAAGACTAAAACCTCAACCAATCCAATGATATTAAAACAATTTGATGGTAAAATCAAGTCAAAGTTCAGGTAGCCGGCAACGTGAGGCCGGAACTGTCGTAAAGCACGAAGCACAAACCCAATCAAAACATTATTTTTCTTATTTGTGCATTTAAAAGTACAAAAATTGTTTACCCAAATTTACCAAAAGGGGCGGGAGCACCTTTAATTGAATACAATGACACGAAACACCCACTTCTCTAAAATAAAACTCCACCCTAGGAAAAGGGATGGTTGCGAGCATTCACTGTCGTAAAATATCAAGCACGGGGCCCCTAAATGACGTTCTGCATTTACCAATCCACCCTGACCCACAACATTTTCTTTAAAGTACATTTATGGATCCGCTGAGAGAGGGTACAAGAAAAGAAACAAAGTACATTCATGGGGAGAGAACAACACTAGAATATTTTTAATTATATAACAGAAGAAATTACGATAGAAAAGGCAATTAATTAATCATAATTAATTTACTCTCTAGCAACACAAAACCTTCTAAAGCCCCTTATGAAGAGCCCTGGGACCAAAAGTTAATTGAATGAGACGAGGGGAGGAACAGGTAAAATTAAATGCCAAACCGGGCCCAATATGTCTGAAAAAAAGCGGCTGATGGGCCGCCATGTCACGTGATTTAAAACGTCACCTGCTAAGCCAGATGAATCACTTCAGAATGTGCAAACTGAAAATATCTTCGTTTGAGAAATATTTATGAAACAAAGCCAATTCAAATTTAAGCAAATTCAAATATCATGAAAAAAACCCAAGTCAGTACACCAGAAACGAAAACAATAAATAGGATCCTAGGGGGCTTCATTCCCTTCAGGGACTTAAAGGTATAAGCTCTTACCAACCCGACTGCCATTTTCCATATCCTTAAAGTGTCAATACCGCCAAGTATTTTAAGAGGTGCTTTTGGCTGAATACTGTGATATTAAATAGACAAGTGTATTATACAAAAGTGCAAAACAGAGTTCAAGGACCACGGCCAGGCGATTCCCTGGGGTTAGTGAACAAGCTGGAAGTCCATTGCCTCATTTCATGTAGAAATATTCAAAACGCTTTTTTTTTCTCCTGTGAACACAACATATGAAGGAGACGAATTCTGAACTTGAACCATAACAGATTACATTAAACATATAATCATGCTAAATAAGAGACTAAACTGGCCACAAAGACAGCAAACTGAGGTCGGCTGTCATAACTCCACCTCAGGAGGTAACTTCCCTCCTTGTCACCTCTAAAGGAACAGAAATATGAAAACCGAATGGAGAAAGAAACGAAATAAAAACTTTAAAGAAATAAGTGGTGATAATATCTACCCAACGATGGTAAAAAATAAAGGCAAACTCAGGTGCCCCGTCACCAACAGCCACCGTTCAGGGCTGGACCGACATCGTCTTATCGATCACATCAGCGTTTCCTCATTTTTAATTACAAAACACCACAAAACCTTAGGATCCAGAGGGAGGAGGGGTGTCCATGATCAAGATTTAAACAAAATGATCGGAAACACTCATCAGTTGTTCCATCAAGCACAACACTGGGCCGGACGTGACTAGGGAGCTTCCCTGTCAACAATCCATTGGCCCATCACACACATCCCTTACAGATGTCACAACATATCATAAACACGATTCGATCAAGATCACCACAAAATTTTGTAATTAAGAATTAAAACCAAGTAAACTTACATTTTCTGATCCCGGAAGGCGGGTGCCGCCATATTCCCACATATCCTCGGGAAACTGTCCACGGAAGCCCCACAGGACAATCCAGACTTTAACGGTATCTACCTGGTCACGTGGTACGGATGCCTGGACACCCAGTCGTAGGCCCCGCCTACAGACAACGTCATTGGAGGGTCTGAAGGAATTGACAAGGAATCCAACATTGAGCTCCAGGTTTACAAGGGAAAACTCAACCAATACCTAAAGGCCCAGCTAAATAACGCAGGCCTTTCTGGTACTGTAGCTTATATAACTGTGCTCATCTCTCCATATCCAGGTCTACTACCCAGGCCTCTATACATACCATATCCTCTGTTTCCTGGCATTTCTGATTTTGGAAATCTGGCTCACCCAGTTTGTCTAGGCCCACCTCAATTGCCCTCTCCTCCAGGAAGCCTTCCATGCTTGTACTCCTTGCCCTGACAGGTAGAAGTTGTTCTTTGCTTTTAAGTGGGCACATGGAGAGATATAGAGGGTAGGAGGAAGAAGAATTATATGGTCCTTGGGATCTGAAAGCAGTGGGCTGAGCAAGATGTCAGGGACCCAAGGTTTGTCTTTGCGATTTTATCAATGCAGTTGAGGTTTCCATAATTGTGCTATGGCCAGGGGAAGCCATCCACAAGGTAAATCATAGCAGCCTCCCAGGATTAATCACAACACTAAACATAAACAACTCACTTGGATTTCATACCTTTCCCTGTCTTTCTCTCTCTCAATATTTTGTCCCACCCTTCCAGCTTCAGGCATAAGCTGTCTCTTCTCTGACGACATGACTGACTTCATGTTTCCATGCATATACACTAGAAGGCTTATTTCTTCTGTTGTAGGATCAATGATTGAGTAGTTTCAGATCTCCTTTGCACAGGTCACTGGCTTCATGAGTACTGGAGGTGGGAGTGGACCCTCCCCCTTTTCAAGAGGCCATCTGCCGAGCTGCTCTCAATATGCGAGTCAGTATAAACAGAAAAGTCCAACTCTCACCAAGGGTTGACTAAATTTCAATTTTGAATTCATCTGTGCCCAAGGTGGAAGGTGAAACCAAAAGACACTGGGTCATGGTAGTTGGACCTTGAGTGGCTTGGGCAGCACCACCGGGATTGGCACTCTAATGACATAACCGTTCCATCTGCAGAAAAGATTATTTTGATTGGGAAAGGTGAAGCTGCACGGCCTGCATATGCAATAGTTGATGATGTTGCCCTACCCAGCCTGGACTCTGACAACCAACACTAGCTGGGGAAGATGGACTCACTGTCTTCCAAGTACAAGTCTGAAGAAACAGCAGAATCAGATTGGTTAAAATCACTTCCAAACTGATTTAGGAAGCTGAGACAATAAACACAGACACTGGATTGTTGTGTATTGCCACTTACATGGGGGTAATGATTCAGCTGTCTGTGTCTGGTATCTTAGCTTCCTAAACAATTGTTTGGAAGTGAGTAGAGGCTGGTGTAGTGGGAGGAATGAGGAGAGATGTTGTTCAAAGGCTAGAAAATTCCAGTGTGACAGAGAGAATTCGTTTTTGAGATCTTCCCCACAAAAAAGTAGTATGTGAAGTAAAGGATATTTCAATTTACTTGAATTAATCATTCTACAACATGTAATACATCAAATCATCACATTTTCCCATATCAATATATACAATTATTATATCTGACTTTTTTTTCTTTTTTCATAAAAGGAGAAACCAGTTTCCCTTACAGGTAACTTACCCTCTACAGTCTTGCTGCTCCTTTAGAAGCTCAGTGAATGTTTATTAGTGAGCTTTTCCAGACATGGGGTTTGGGGATAAGACTCTGGCAAAGATCCAGAGGGGCAGGGAGTGGTTCTACACTTTGTCCAGCAATCAGTGAAGGGATGAATCTGGGAACTTAAGCAGCATGGGATGTGAAGAGAAGGAAGAACCAGGCCGTGGGTGTGAATCCCATGCCAGGAATTCCCACGTCATTGCTCACATGTTGCTGAGGCTTTTCCCTCTGACTGCACTCTGAAGCTGGAAACATGGCTGGCCTCTCTTGATGCCAGGACACTGCCCAGGTCCTATCTCTCAGTCCACTTGTGTCTCCACAGTCTATAGTCACCGGTCACTCTGCTCCCATCCATACTTCATCTCATGCTCATAGGCTGTCCTGAAAAAATTATCTATGACTTCTTATCCATCTTGCACCACAGAGAGTGGTTAAGTGTATGGGTTCCACCTAGGCTGCTTGCATTCATGTCACAGCTCTTCCTCCTACACTTGTGTATTTTTCAGGGTTGTTTTTCTTCTCTGTTTCCTTGTCAGTAAAATGATGATACAGTCTCTCAGTCTGTTCAGGCTGTTTTAAAAAAATACCTTCCACTGGGTAATTCAGAAAAGATAGGAGTATATTGCTCACAGTTCTGGAGGCTGGGAAGTCCATGAGCAAAGCACCAGCAGGTTTGCTGTCTCACGAGGGCCTCTTCCTTCTTCATGTCAGCCTTTGTGTGTCCTCACATATTGTAAGGGGAAAGAAGGTTCCCACAAGCTTCTTTTATAAGGCAGGCCACTAGTCCCGTTTATGAGGGTAGAGCCCTCGTCACCTAATCACCTCCCAAAGGCCCTACCTATAATATTTTCACCCTGGGGACTAACTTGCATCATAAATTTGTGGGGGTACACCAACATTGAAATCACAGCAGAGACCAATAAGAACTATGTTGTTGGACTGCCATGACATTCAGCAACTGCAATAAATCCTGGAAAGTATTAAACTGTCTTGTAAAGTTAGCTATGATTGTTTTTGTAACATTTTGCTGCATGTCTCTGGTCAAATATCATCTCCTTCCTTGAGCTGTTCTGTGCCTTTCCTGTTTGTGAGCAAACAAGAAAACATCAGATGGTGGGAAGTGCCAGGAGCATGGGCTGGCGAGGAGGGAAAGGGGGAGGTGTGGGGATGCCGGGGAAAGTATTCAGCCAAGCAAAGTCTGTGCAAGGATACTTCAAACACAGAGAACAACAAGCACAAAGAAGGACATGGACTTGATGCGTATGACGCAATAGCCTAGGGAAATCTTCACTAAGAACTTGTCCCTCTATCCTACAGACTAAACAAATAATCAAAGGAAAGTTAGTAAAAATATCAACTTTTTTATTTTTTTCCTTTTAAAACCACATACTTTAGATTGCCTAAAGGCTGGCCCCTCTACTTGCTGCTTGGGTCCTCTTCTTCCATGGGGTACCTCTTTACTCTGGTATCATGGACCCACGGTTTTATTTTTGACAGTTTAAATGAGCTGTTAGAGACATTTGATAGAGTCTCTTTCACTTTTTTGTTTCCGACCAGGACAGAGATTTGAAAGAGGCAAACTCATGTATAGCCTTTAGCACCTGACCCACCATTTGACATGTTGTTTTACTCTGTTGTTTTCACTCATGGTTATATTATTATATATCCCTCGGGGTGTTAGGAAGAGTCTCTCATAAACTGTGTTCTGAGGCTTGACTGAAGCCTGTTTATAGGGGTACCCTTATCTGGAGGACAAGTGGCAATATCTTATCTCAATTTCCTGTATCAATTTCAAGATGTATGTAATTTTCATTCTAGATGTAGGGGGTTGTTTATTTGCTGGGTTAACTTCAATATGAAAGAATGTCTATTATTATTCTACATAGAGGAGGAGAACCTATGAATATCATAACAAACTATGGGATCATTGAGTCTACCGTGTCCTGCCTTGGAGAAATGGTGTACCAGGTTCATACTGGGGGCCACTTTATACATTTGTGGTGACCACAGAACACTGTGCAACAGATCCAGGTTCAGAGGATGGGAAGCAAAGTTCCCCTCATGGGCACTTTCATTGAGTAGCCAAACACAGTGATACTTTGAGCCGTCCAGTGTCACCTTAGCTGTCTGTCTATGGTGTCTATCACCAGCATGTCATTTTCTATCTACTTGGCCTCTTTTCCTGGACTGCGGATATCCATTATCCCATCATCCTCTGAAGCTTGTTCCCGTTCTGCACTGACGTATGTGCCTCGTGCCAGCAGCTCCTGGTAAGAGCCAATTACGGAGCTTTAGGCACTCTCTCCATCTGTGGAGGACAAGTCTTTACCCAGCCTGAAAAGGTATCTATTAGTACAAGTTCAGGCATCTGAAGAAATTGCTAGTCACTGTAAGTCTTTTTGTTTGTTTGGTTTTTTGTTTTTGTTGTTCTTGGACCACCCCGAGCACATAAACAATTTGTTGTAAGCAGGGTCTTTCCGAATGAGGATTCATCAAATCCATTAAAGCAAGCACATAGATAGTCCAAGGTACACAGGGTCCTCCCAAATGAGGCGCTCCCAAATCCACTAAGGCATCAAATCTATAATGTGTGTATTCATGTAGCTGCCTCTCACGAGGCCGAATCAAAGCTTCGGGCCTGAGAATGAGTCCATGAGAATTCTGCCTCCATCTAACTGTGGCATCCGAAATGTAACAGTCACAGTCTTTACTTTCTAAGTGAATCTAAATCTAGCCTGAGTATCAAGGCCCCAGAGAACAGATCATCTCCAGTGGCCTCCTTAGCAGCTCTGCCAGTCACTTTTCTTTGGCCATGTTGGCCACCTGCTTAGGCTCAGCCACGGCCTGTTTCAAGACCATTATTTTAACCACTTTGAGACGGCAGTGACCGGCCGGGAAATCTTGCCCACAGCCGGGACTCATAGTCTGCACGATAGTGTGTGCTGTGCATTGGCGATGAATTCGTTTTGCTCTTGTGAAATGAGGAAACTTGAAAGCACTGAAAGCTTGTTTTACTTTACAGGCAGCTTTACTTGTAAAGTAAATCAGAATAGGTGACATATACATATATGTTTTCATTACGTTATTTTTAAATGTTCACAATGTTATTTTGATAAATGAAAAATTAGAAATTAGCCGTCATATCAGGCTGGCAGCTAAAGCCATTCTGCGTGTTCATCTGTGGCTATCCACTATAGTTGACACTCATACCAAAGTGGTTAATGGCATACTGAATATCTTTATTTTCTGTCATCAGAAGACTAACACTTTTTTAATGATTTTTTTTTGAGACAGACTCTCACTCTGTCGTCCAGTATACAGTGCTGTGGCATCAGCCTAGCTCACATCAACCTCAAACTCCTGGGCTCAAGCGATCCTTCTCTCAGTCTCCAAGTAGCTGGGCTACAGGCATGCACCACTATGCCTGCTAATTTTTCTATAATTCTCTAGTTGGCAAATTAAATTCCTTCAATTTTTAGTAGAGACGTGACCCTCTTGCTCAGACTGGTTTCCAAGTTCTGACCTTGAATAATCCTCCCACCTCCGCCTCCCACCGTGCTAGGATTACAGGTGTAATCCTAGCGTCCGGCCTTTAATGGTTGTATGAGCCTATACTATCAAAAAACTTATTGGAATCTATATAAATGTTTGTCTTTTTCCCCTC